ACAATATTATAATAAATATATAATAATATAATAGTATAAATCACGATTTATGATAATATATATACCTGGGATTTTCTTAACTAATTATCCGTCATGAAATATAAACTAGCTGGCTCATATAAATATTTTGTATTATCAGTTGAAACATATTAACCAGGAAAACTTTTTGCTAGAATTGTTCAGCTCGGGAATTTAATAAAACATTTAACAGTACTTCTAAAATACATTTTTACATAAAAATGGTTTGGTTTGTATATTTTGAATTTCGCACAAAGTTACACGAGGGCTATCTGCGCTAGCCATCTCTAATTTAGCGAAAGACTAGAAGGAAGGCAGCTAGTCATCACCACTTCCCGCTAACTCTTGGGCTACTCTTTTACCAACAAATAGTGGGATTAATCGTCAAATAATAACGCCCCCACGGCTGAAAGGGCGAGCACGTTTGGTGAGACAGGGATTCGAACCCACGACCCTTAGATTGCGAGTCAAGCGTACATAAAGAATAAATAAATAAACCGTCTAAATTAATATTAAATGAAACTGAACACATAAACAGTAAATATTACATATAACAATATTATAAACAAATACAAAGAATGTCTTACGTCACGGATAGCCGGCAAGCTATAATGTTATATACTAGTTGTACTTCCGCAGGGTCCCCGAAAGTGTTCTGTTTCAAAATTAAATAAAACCAAAATTAAGAGTAACAAATATTTTTATTTCTTGCTTTTAAGTTCATATGTCATGCTGTGCTATAACCTACAGAATGCATAATTCCGCTCTTGATTCACTGCATGCACACGTTTTACTGACGTCACGACAGTACAATTGCAACGTTAAGAGTCATTTTAGTGGTTAAAACATGTGATCCTTCCTGACGGCCTTCAGCCTCCTTTCAGGGAGCGAATAATAATTTATAATTAAATGTATACAAACATAATTATACTATACATATTTTTATGCAATATATGCAGATCATTATTATCTATATTTTCCATTAAAAAGCTAGCGACTATTGCTTTGCGTAGACGAAAAATGGAGCGACGCTGTCTACAATCACTATGAAATTTCAAATGTAGTGTCGATCTGCGAGTCGCTCCTAGAAAAATAGAGGCACTACGCACGGCTCTGATCTTTGAAATGTTACAACACTTTGGTATGTAAGCTTTTTTTAAAAACAGAGGGTTGGCTAATGTTTACTTACTTTCGAACGCAGAACACCAGCACAAAAATTATATATACGTCCTTTCTAGCTATGGAAAGGCAAAATATGGCAGTTTTTCCAGATACGACTAAAAGATTAGAAAATAGTTTCTTTTTCAATAAGAATCATAAGAAAAGATGATATACAAATAGAATATGTTTGAATTTCGTCTGTACATTGAAGTTTTTAGCAATGTCTTTAAAAAATAACAGCAAACTATGAATGGAAAATATTACAATTAGCTTTTGCGCTCTTATTATTTGACTGATTTTTTCAATGTCTTGAGTAAATTAAATCTTACTTTGGGAAAATTAATCTTTAAACTAGATGTAGCCTCTAGCTTATAACAACATTTATGTTTCAAATATAATTTACAAGTATAAAATTTATTAATGCAGCGACCTTTACAGTATATAAAGCCATGATAGTTACACAGTTACAAATATTCCCCAAACTGATTCAAAATAATTATTGTTTTCTTACGGCACAGCAAATTATTCTATTTCAGAGTATAGCGTAAATATATAAATATTCTCATGATTTTTGATTGATGTCATTAGGAGTTTCCATCTTAATTTGATGACTCTCACCATGAATTGCCTGTGTGTTTTTGTTATTCTTTCTTTAACGTAATCTTATTATCTATATAGTTTTCCATTTAGTTATTGAATATAAATACACACACACACACACACACATATATATATATATATATATAGATAGATAGATAAAATATAGACACATATTTATTTTTAGTCATGTGATGTCGAATAGCTGAACCAATCGATGACTGCGGGGGAGGGAGATGGAAGATACTTGTACTCGTTGTTTTAGTTAAACGTTGTCAAGATTCACTAAATTAGAAATGTTAGAGTGTTACTTCAATGTTGATAGTGGTTATCTTGAGGGTTTAGTAAGAGGATTTAAAACAGGAATTCTAAGACATGCTGATTATTTAAATCTCGTACAATGTGAAACTCTGGAAGGTGAGAAACTAAGTGATAATTGATATCGATGGTATGGATAATGATACTGATAGATCATGACAGTTGATAATGGTATTGATGTGTCAGTTTACTAATACTACTAATATTATTATTAATAGTGATACTATATTACTATTATTAGTATTAACATTATTAATTAGTGTTTGAATAACTAGTAATAATGGTAGTAATACTATTGCACTAATGATATTACTATTACTAACTCTTAGTATTACTTACTATTAGTAATAGTACTACTATTAGTATTGTTATTAGTAGGAGGCCCAGCAATATATTTATAATTTAGATAGCGTAATAATGAAGTATACAGTGTAACTTGCAAGTGAGTAACATACCATCTTACATTATAATATAAGTAATACTAATTACTGTTAATAATGATGTAACTATGCCTAGTCTATTATTAGAATTTTCAATCTAGGCAGTAATAATATTAATAGTTTGATGTTATTACATTTACAGTGTGTGTAAATTGTACTGCACTTGTATGATATATGAATAAACTGTGTAACTGACACAAAAATAAAATTGTTATTATTACATTAACTTTATTCAAGTGTCAACTGCTATTCACTGTTGTTCTAACCTAAGTTGATTCACAATTTAATCCGAACATCCCTTTCATGCTTAAAAAGCATTGAAAGATTTATCCATGAAATATTTTTAATCAGTTCTTTATACTGTAACAAATTGTATTGATGTGTTTTGTGCTTCATTGTAGGTTTTAATGTAATCTTATTTCAAAATGAGATACTCCAAGCTTAGCCATTGTAAGGCAAATTGCAAACCAGTTCGTCATGCAAAAAGGAATTCAGTATAAAACATATTAAAGATTTACATATCTGTTTTTGAGGTCGTCTCTCCACATACTAAAACAATTAATTAACATTTATCCTACACAACCACTTGTCTATCCTGAAAAACAAAACAAAAGAACTATACATACCAGTTTAACCACATCAGGCAAACAAATTTCTATCTACAACTATTACACTTTACAGAGTAGTATTTGATAAGCACTTTAAATAGTGCATATGTTTCTGTGTGTTTAGTAACTTCTTTAATAAACAACATTATTTTATGAATGTTTATAATATTGGGGAGAGCTCATTTATAAGTGACAAAAGGACAATGACAATGTCAGTAAATGTGTCAATGTGTAGAAAATGAATTTTAATTTTAAGAAGTATAAAGTTATTCACTTATGGCAGAGAAACTTGGAAAGGACTCGCTTCTTGTGTGAGAGATAAAGCTTTGGCATTGTGGAAATAAAGGGTATAAAGTGTGATTCAATGTTAGTGAAAACCCAAAGTCATGTACTAAGTGTTTAGCTGTGGTGAAGAGAAGTTGTTCTTAATTCTTTTGATAGGACTCCATAAGTTAATAGCAAGAAAGTTATTGTAACCTCCTTTAAGGCATATTAAACCTTACTTGGAGTATTGTGTTTTGGGATTTTAGTTTCACTACAAAATGGATACCTGTATTGTTGGACATAGAACCAAATGGACTATTAGAATGATGACAGATTTAATTATAACCCACTTAAGCCTAGAGATTTAGACTTATTTTACCTGGAGCAAAGAACAATTAAAGGAGACCTCATTTAGGTCAAACTTTTGAAGGGTTTGAACAGTCTTTTTTTGTGAATGGTCTGTTTAAGTGGTATAATGGATGTAACAAACAAACATTAAAAAAAATTAAGTATCAGTAAATATCACATTATCTATTGTTTATAATTTAAATAGAAAAATATTTTGACAGAGAACAATACTTGACTCGATCAGTAATTTTTCATAAACCAGTTAATTCATTCATTATTGGAAATTGTAGTAAATTAATAGTATTTATGGTATCCATAAAGGTGTAAAAGTTTATTTTAGACTAATGATTTTTAAGTTAGGTACTGCCATTAATTGTGAATTTAGTCTGATTCATATATAGTTGGAATGAGCAGTAACACAAGCAGAAATAGTTTTAATCTCTCACAACATAGGCTTCTAAAATTTGAGTAATGTAGAAAAACTGTTTTTGAAAACAAGTTTTTGCTGATGAAAAATGTTGTTTGTAAGTGATAGTAATTGAAACTAATGAGCTGTAACACTGTAACTTTTTAATACTGTACATTTTACATTTAAGATTCAACAAATATGATGGAACAAAATTTTCTACATCAAACTTTTATTTTATATAACTGAACTTCCTTGATTTCTTCACTGATGTAAATACTAGTGAAAATAAACAATATTTTGATTTATAACTCCCCTTACTTTGATGACCTATAATTGTATTAGATGCTTTAGCTGTCCACATTTCAGTTGCAGATACATATGCCTTATATTGTAATGCTTTAAAGTTATGTTCTTTATACGTAACACTTTTTTAGCTATATTTTAATTGAAGTTTCATGTATAAGTGATTTCATTAAAACATTTTGAATATAATTTTTCCAACTTAATATTCTAAAAATTTTGTCTTCATTTTCTAGGTTTGATTGGTAATTAGGTGAAGGGCAACCATTATTTCAAAATCTTCACCCATGTAGTACAGTATCTGCCTTGCTTGTGTGTAAAATTCTGATATTAAAATTATTATATTTCTAACAATTTGTATATTTGGAATCAGTATTATTCATTTCATTCTTATGTGTATCAGCTGTATGTTTACCACCACCTGCTTCATTTGTAAAAATGCATTAATAAGCACTTACAATACAATGGGAGCTATATTTAATTTTCTGATAAGATACATTACCTTCACCCACATGTATAGCTATCCTTGTTCAATGCTGCCCTCTGTATGCAAAATTTTTTTGTATGCCACAAGTCTTGAACTCACATGATCCACTTGGATCAATTGCGTCTCACATGTAAATCATTATGCCACAACCCTACACCAATAGGCATGCAACACACCCTCCTGATGCATGTGACTCTCTCTATTGATTCTACTGAACTATCACTTCTTGTCAGGCAGTGATCGAGTGCAGATGTTTTTCAATTGTGCTCTTTTTATGAGCTTATTTCATTTTTTGAGGGAAAGTAGTGATTTACTCAATTTCTTCATTTGCTACAATTAGTTTTCTATAGTAGTTTGCAGCAATAATTTGTTTTACGTTTTACAAGCGATTATGTTTTACAAGCTCTGATATTATTACTGCTACTTCGAGTTCCATAACTGGCTTCAAGTCTGGGGATCTTGACTGAGGATTTTTTGGCTATCAATCATTGGGAGATTGATTGTTATATGAGGTGTCCTTTTTTTTCCCCAACCATGTTTGGGTTCCTCTTGCATCGTCCAAACCTGTTCATGATGATGAGGATTTAGACCATTTTTTTTCCTCCTCCTAACTATGCTGTGCTTTCCCGTACATCTCCTACAAGATCTACTAGGTATAACCCTGCCGTTTTGGATATCCTTTCTCAGATTTGTTCTGTTTTTATATGATACTGTTCCTTCTTATTTTTCTTACATGACACCCATCATTAGGGTCACTTTGTTTTTCCTCCTTCCACTGACATATGGGCTCATGCTGAGCAATTTATTTCTCAGTTGAGTATGGGTTTTAGCATGCCTCCTACTTTATGGATTTTTTTATCTTTATGCTTTGGCGTATCAACAAGCTGATCAACCTATTCTTGACTTCAAGCAGTTGGAGTCACTTTTGCTATTGTGGGGGGGGGGGGCTGTTCCTGATATTCCTATCCATTTTACACTTGTCCAATATATACCTCCTTTCTGAGGCACTCCACTGATCCCCTGAGGGTTTATTGGGGATACATTTTCCCTTTCCCGTGGCACTATTGACCTCTTTCACCCTATCCCTTCACACACATGGTTTTATTGCTGTTGGGACCATATTGGGAAAGATGATGTCTTCTCATAGGTTCATCTACCCTCCCCTTATTTTTGTGACTTCTGGATGGCTCCTTTTCTCCATCCTTTTGTTTTTGGAGATTTTTTTCCAGAGTCTTCGGAATCATGTGTGGACTCTGTGAATCCACGTTCAACCTTTTAGTCTGTGGTTACTTGATTTTCTCATTATGATACCATGGTCTCTCCCATAACTGTTTCTTGTCCTGCAACCTCCATCCTTTATCCATTCCTACCACTAGGGGTTCAAAATTTCATCATGTGCTTCGAAGTCGGGTTCATTGTTGCCAGCAGTTTCAGTGACGTTCAGGTGGTTTCCTGTCTGACGGGGGCATATTTGGCTGATTTTGTCCCCCTGTAATGGTTATTCACTACCAATTCTTGGGTAATCCAAGTTTTGTCATTTTTCCATTTCCCTCCACTTTTGTTTCCTGTACCGATTTCTTTCCCATTAACTTGGGATCCAGCTACCTGTCTGAGTCTATCCAAGGTTGTGCTGATCCTTCCATCACAGAGAGCTATCAAGCCTCTAAGCTTTTTCCTGGATTTTACTCCAGGTATTTTGTCCTGCCGTAACCAATTTGTGGTTCTTTTCTGATTTCCCATGGAGTCCGTTATCACACTCAATGGGGTTTTTCTTCAGGACTATGGATGAACAAGTTAGATGTGTTGAATGTCTATTTCAGTATTCATATTTCTCATCAGTCCAGGTGCTATCTTAGGTTTGTCAGCTTCAGGGTTTTGTACCAGTTTTGATCCTGGTCTTTTGGTCTTGCTTCAGCATTGCATGTATTTCATTTGGTTGTCATGGCTTTTGCCTGACTTATGCATGCTCTGGGGTTATGCTTACACCACTGCATGGACAACTTGTTCTTGTTAGTTCATTCTAAACTGAAGTCTTCTCAACATACACATCTGCTGCTAGTAATAGCAGCTGTTGTTGGTTGGATTCTAAGGCTGGTGATGTTTCTCTACCTACTATCTTAACTACTTGGGTGTATTATTCCACACCCTATCATTCGGGCCCATCTTTTTTTCACTTCTCCAATTGAAAGTGTTTTTGGTTCTCCATATATTTACTGCTTCCTCAATTTCTGCACAAAAAAGTT